TCTCTTTAGGTTCTCATTAATCCTTCCCGTATTTCTGTTTTATATGCATTTTCCTGTATCATTTTCTTCCTACCTGAGAGTAGCTTACTGTAGATACTCTTTCACACTCTACTGTTTTCACTTTATAGTATGTCCTGGAAATTGCTCCATTTAAGTTCATAGAGATCGTCCTCATTCTGTTTTACATAGTAAACATAGCACTTCGTTGTGTGCATGTCCTGTAGTTTATTCAACCTCTCTCCTATGTATGGGAATTCCGTATGATTTTGTTTATTATTATTATTATTTTTAGAGATGGGCTTTCACCATGTTGCCCAGTATGGTCTCTATCTCCTGACCTCATGATCCGCCCACCTCAGCCTCCCAAAGTGCTGGGACTACCAGGCATCAGCCACCACGCCCGGTCTTAGATTTTATTTTATTTATTATTTTTATTTTTTTGAGACTGGGTATTAAAAAAAAAGCCTGTTACCTAGGCTGAAGTACAGTTGTATGAGCTCAGCTCATAGCAGCCTCAACCTCCCATGCTCAAGTGATCCTCCCACCTCAGCCTCCCAAGCAGCCAGGACTACAGGTACCTGCCACCACACCTGGCTAATAATTTTTTTATTTTTTGTAGAGATAGTGTTTTGCTGTATTGCCCAAGCTGGCCTTGAACTCCTGAGCTCAAGCAATCTGCCCTCCTCAGCTTCCCCAAGTGCTAGGATTACAGGTGTGAGCCACCAAGCCTGGCTGAGATTTTATTTTATTTTCATTTTATCTATTTATTTTTGAACCAGAGTTTCGCTCTTGTCATCCAGGCTGGAGTGCAATGGCGCGATCTTGGCTCACCGCAACCTCCACTTCCTGAGTTCAGGCAATTCTCCTGCCTTAGCCTCCTGAGTAGCTGGAATTACAGGCATGCGCCACCATGCCCAGCTAATATTTTGTATTTTTAGTAGAGACAGGGTTTCACCATGTTGACCAGGATGGTCTCAATCTCTGGATCTCGTGATCCACCCGCCTTGGCCTCCCAAAGTGCTGGGATTATGGGCGTGAGCCACCGCGCCTGACCTGAGATTTTATTTTTAATGGTCTTTCATTGAAAAATTTTTTATTTGGTTATTTCCAAATAACCGCTAAGTCATTTTTGATAACCTTTTATTCTCTGCTTCTGAAATATTTTAAACAGTTGTTTTACATTCTTTTAAATTTTTTTTTTTTTTTTTTTTTTTTTTTGAGACGGAGTTTTTGCTCTTGTTACCCAGGCTGGAGTGCAATGGCACGATCTCGGCTCACCGCAACCTCCGCCTCCTGGGTTCAGGCAATTCTCCAGCCTCAGCCTCCTGAATAGCTGGGATCACAGGCACGCGCCACCATACCCAGCTAATGTTTTGTATTTTTAGTAGAGACGGGGTTTCACCATGTGGACCAGGATGGTCTCGATCTCTTGACCTTGTGATCCACCCGCTTCGGCCTCCCAAAGTGCTGGGATTACAGGCTTGAGCCACCGCGCCCGGCCATTCTTTTAAATTTTTTTTTGAGACAGTCTCACTCTGTAGCCAGGCTGGTGTACAGTGGCATGATCTCAGCTTACTGCAACCTCCACCTCCTGGGTTCAAGCAATTCTCCTGCCTTGGCCTCCCAAGTAGCTGGGATTATAGGCATGTGCCAACATGCCCAGCTAATTTTTATATTTTTAGTAGAGACGAGGTTTCACCATGTTGGCATGGATGGTTTTGATCTCTTGACCTCATGATCCCAAAGTGCTGGGATTACACACATGAGCCACCATGCCCAGCCACATTCTTTCATATATTTTTATAAAGATGGGGGTCTCAAGGCCAGGGGCAGTGGCTGATGCCTGTAATCCCAGCTACTCAAGAGTCTGAGGCAGGAGAATTACCTGAACCCGGGAGGTGGAGGTTGCAGTGAGCGGAGATCCTGCCTTTGCATTCCAGCTTGGGCAACAAGAACGAAACTCCATTTAAAAAAAAAAAAAAAAAAATGGCCAGGCGCGGTGGCTCAAGCCTGTAATCCCAGCACTTTGGGAGGCCGAGGTGGGTGGATCACAAGGTCAAGAGATCGAGACCATCCCCGGTCAACATGGTGAAACCCCGTCTCTACTAAAAATACAAAACATTAGCTGGGCATGGTGGTGCGTGCTTGTAATCCCAGCTACTCAGGAGGCTGAGGCAGGAGAATTGCCTGAACCCAGGAGGCGGAGGTTGTGGTGAGCCGAGATCGTGCCATTGCACTCCAGCTTGGGTAACAAGAGCGAAACTCCGTCTCAAAAAACAAAAACAGGCCGGGCGCGGTGGCTCAAGCCTGTAATCCCAGCACTTTGGGAGGCCGAGGCGGGTGGATCACAAGGTCGAGAGATCGAGACCAACCTGGTCAACATGGTGAAACCCCGTCTCTACTAAAAATACAAAAAATAAGCTGGGCATGGTGGCACGTGCCTATAATCCCAGCTACTCAGGAGGCTGAGGCAGGAGAATTGCCTGAACCCAGGAGGCAGAGGTTGCGGTGAGCCAAGATCGCGCCATTGCACTCCAGCCTGGGTAACAAGAGCGAAACTCCGTCTCAAAACAAAAACAAAAACAAAAAAAATGTTGGGGGTCTCACTGTGTTGCCCAGGCTGGTCTTGAACTCCTGGGTTCAAGCAATCCTCCTGCCTTGGCTTCCCAAAGTACTGAGACTATAGACAGGAGCCACAGCACTCAGGCTGTTTTACATTCTAATATTTGAAAATTCTAACATTCAAAGCCCTTCAATGTCTAATTCTCTTTTGTGCTGTGTCTTCTGACAAATTTTCCTGGTAGATTTTCTCGAGTAGTTTATAATTTTATATTTTGAGCCCATATTTGGTTATTTAAATCTGTGGAACGTGTGAAACCAGATTTGGAAACACTTTAAGCCAATCTGCCCGCTTTGAGTTTTCTGGACTAAGCAGATACATGAATTCAATCCATGTGAAGGAAAAATTCTAATAATAAATTCTAAAGATAACATTACTTTTTTTCCTGTTTCTTGCAACTGGAACAGAGGCTTAGACAGACCATCTACCTCACAGGCTCCCTTCCCCAGGGCAGGGGGGATAGAGTGTCCCCTTGCCTACCTTTCACCGAGGTCTTGCTTCATGCAAGGGTCTTGCTTCTGGCTCCCCAGCCTGCACAGGCTATAAGAACCAGAGGCTAGACCAGGGGCAGTGGCTCACGCCTGTAATCTCAACGCTTTGGGAGGCTGAGGCAGGTGGATCAGAGGTCAGGAGTTCAAGACCAGCCTGGCCAAGATGGTGAAACCCCATCTCTACTAAAAATACAAAAATTAGCCAGTTGTGGTAGCAGGTGCCTATAATCCCAGCTTCTCAGAAGGCTGAAGCAGAGAGTTGCTTGAACCTGGAAGGCGAAGGTTGTAGTGAGCCAAGATCATGACACTGTACTCCAGCCTGGGTGACAGAGCAGGACTCTGTCTCAAAAAAAAAAAAAAAACAAAAAAACAAAAAAACAAAAAAACAAAAAAAAAACCCGAGGCTCAGGGTCCAAGTGTTTACAAACCTTCTCACTTGGGATTCTTGTTGCCTCTTCACTGGGGGGCCTGTTGGGATTTCCCTTTTTATGAGCTTAGCATTCATTTAAAAGTCTATTTATCAGGAATTTTTTGATGTATTTTATCAGGCACAGTGAGCCACTGTGCCTGGCTTAATTTTTGTATTTTTAGCAGAGATGGCGTTTCACCATGTTGGCCAGGCTGGTCCTGAACTCCTGACCTCAAGTGATCCACCTGCTCTGGCCTCCCAAAATGCTGGGATTACAGGCATGAGCCATCATGCCCGACCAGCTTCTACTAATTTAGGCACTAAGAGTATTACATTATGGTAGAACAGTGCTATAGAATGTTTCTTCAAGGCTGGGTGCAATGGCTCATGCCTGTAATCTCAGCACTTTGGGAGGCCGAGACAGGGGGATCCCCTGAGCCCAGAAGTTTGAGGCAACATAGTCTGAGCAACATAGTAAGACCTTGTGTCTACAAATAATAGTTTTTTAAGAAGTAGCTGGGCGTGGTGGTGCATGTTTGTTGTCCCAGCTACTTGAGATGCTGAGGTGGGAGAATTGCTTGAGCCTAGGAGGTTGAGGCTGCCGTGAGCCATGATTGTGTCTTTGCACTCCAGCCTGGGCAGCAGAGCAAGACCCTGTCTCAAATAAAACGAGAATGTTTCTTCAAATTATGCCTTAGTCAGAATTCCTACATTTAAAACAGATAAAAATACAGCATCTGCTCTGGTGACAGGGAGTGGAGGGCAGACCAACCCACTCATTCCCCCATGCTCCCTGAGATATCCTTAAGAATACTTCGAGGCCGGGCGCGGTGGCTCAAGCCTGTAATCCCAGCACTTTGGGAGGCCGAGGCGGGTGGATCACAAGGTTGAGAGATCGAGACCATCCTGGTCAACATGGTGAAACCCCGTCTCTACTAAAAGTGCAAAAAAATTAGCTGGGCATGGTGGCACGTGCCTGTAATCCCAGCTACTCAGGAGGCTGAGGCAGGAGAATTGCCTGACCCCAGGAGGCGGAGGTTGCGGTGAGCCGAGATCGCGCCATTGCACTCCAGCCTGGGTAACAAGGGCGAAACTCTGTCTCAAAAAAAAAAAAAAAAAAAAAAAAGAATACTTCGAGGCCCTGCTGAACTCAGCATGAAAACTGCACCAATGGACAAAGGTAACAAGCCTTCTGAAGACTGAGATTCAGCCCTGCCCTCATCCCAGAATTGTACTCCCCATTCTACAGGACTTGAACTACGAACAGGGGTTAGGAAACCAACTCCAAATTCTGGTTCTGCCGTGAGCACGCTTTATAACCCTAGGCGAGGTCCTAACTTTGTGGCTAAGATTTCTCAACTGAAAAACGAAGAACCTGGACCCTGAGATCCCGAGGTTCCTCCGCAAGCCTTCCTTCTGTTGGTTTTGTGTACCTTACCTTAGCTGTACTTGGAGGCGTGCCAGGGCTATGGAGACTCACCTTTACAACATACACTCTGACCAGGAGCTTGATGGGTCGGTTCTGTGGAACCCCCAGGGAGACCTGGGGCTCAGAGAACGATACTGCCTCTGATTCAGGGTAAATGAGGAAGGAGCCCTGAGTTGCGGGGAGAGAGAAAAGGCTCTAGTAAGAGAATTGTGTTCCTGAATCCCCACCTGGGCTCCCTGGTTCCGCTTTCCTTCCCCAAATGTACCTTGAACTTGCCCACAAGGTGTCCAGATCCTTCCTCTTCTCCACCTCCATCCTGGCCCCCCTGCCCTCGGTACAGAGGAAATACATTCAGCCAGTCTTCAAAGTGGTTAAACTCTTCCTCCAGGGACCTGTTGTAGATCTAAAAGGCAAGGACTTCAGTGACAGTCCAATGTCCAGAACCCAAAGGAGACTTTCCTCTCTCCAGTACCCAGTCACCTTCAGGGTGGCAATTGCTTTTTTTCGGGACACAGCCCCTTTAACTTCAGCCTCACCCTGGTCATGGGCCTCCCCAACCATAGTAATGAGGTTGACCCCATCTGGAAATAGCAAAAACACCCCAGTCAGAAATATCTGGATGTGTAGGGGATGGGCAGATGGAACCAGAGCAAAAAGTCCGATCTCTTACCTGAATCTCTAGGATCATCCATTTCATCTTCATCAAAGTTGTGCTGAAATTAAAAAACAGATCCAAAGATTCTTCTCCATCCCCTTCAACTCCTGAGTCTACCTCCTTTTCCAAGAAAGCTGGGAAACCTTTGTTCATTCAAGTTCCCCAGCTGTGTATGCCACTGCTTTTTTTTTTTTTTTTTTTTTTTGAGACAGAGTTTCACTGATCTCAGCTCACTGTAAACCTCTACCTCCCAGTAGCTGGGATTACAGGTGCCCACCACCACGCCCAGGTAATTTTTGTATTTTTAGTAGAGATGGAGTTTTGCCACGTTGGCCAGGCTGGTCGTGAACTCCTTTTTTCTTTCTTTCTTTTTTTTTTTTTGCTGGTCTTGAACTCCTGACTTCAAGGGATCTGCCTGCTTTGGCCTCCCAAAGTGCTGGGATTACAAGCATGAGCCACCACGCCCAGGCTTTAAATGATATTTTGAATATATTATTAAAATTATTTTCGGCCGGCGCGGTGGCTCAAGCTTGTAATCCCAGCACTTTGGGAGGCCGAGGTGGGTGGATCACGAGGTCGAGAGATCAAGACCATCCTGGTCAACATGGTGAAACCCCGTCTCTACTAAAAATACAAAAAATTAGCTGGGCATGGTGGCATGTGCCTGTAATCCCAGCTACTCAGGAGGCTGAGGCAGGAGAATTGCCTGAGCCCAGGAGGCGGAGGTTGCAGTGAGCCGAGATCGCGCCATTGCACTCCAGCCTGGGTAACAAGAGCGAAACTCCGTCTCAAAAAAAAAAAAAAAAAAAAAAATTATTATTTTTTTTTTATGTTAATGACTTTACTTTGAGACATGATGGAAAAATTACAGGTACACATGGAAAAGACATGATGACTGAGTGAAAACAATCTAACCACAAAACTTTAATGCCTGTCAGCTAAGTTGAAGCTGAAATTCTGGGAGCATGACATGCTGCAGGGCCAAAAGGAATGGATAATTAGTATTCCTCTCCTTCTTTTTCACCCTCTCCTTCAACAGAATCCACACCAACCTCCTCATAATCCTTCTCAAGGGCAGCCATGTCCTCACGGGCCTCAGAAAACTCTCCTTCCTCCATCCCCTCATCCACGTACCAGTGAACAAAGGCACGCTTGGCATACATCAGGTCAAACTTTTGGTCCAGGCGAGCCCAGGCCTCGGCAATGGCTGTGGTGTTGCTCAGCATGCACACAGCTCTCTGTACCTTGGCCAGGTCTCCACCAGGCACCACGGTGGGAGGCTGGTAGTTGATGCCAACCTTGAAGCCAGTGGGGCACCAATCCACAAACTGGATGCTGCGCTTGGTCTTGATGGTGGCGATGGCAGCATTGACATCTTTGGGAACCACATCACCACGGTACAACAGGCAGCAAGCCATGTATTTACCATGGCGAGGGTCACATTTCACCATCTGATTGGCTGGCTCAAAGCAGGCATTGGTGATCTCTGCTGCAGAAAGCTGTTCATGGTAGGCTTTCTCAGCAGAGATGACAGGGGCATATGTGGCCAGAGGAAAGTGGATGGGGGGATAGGGCACCAGGTTGGTCTGGAATTCTGTCAGGTCAACATTCAGGGCTCCATCAAATCTCAGGGAAGCAGTGATGGAGGACACGATCTGGCTAAAAAGGCGGTTAAGGTTAGTGTAGGTTGGGCGCTCGATATCGAGGTTTCTACGACAGATGTCATAGATGGCCTCGTTGTCTACCACGAAGGCACAATCAGAGTGCTCCAGCGTGGTGTGGGTGGCGAGGATGGAGTTGTAGGGCTCAACTACAGCTGTGGAAACCTGGGGCGCCGGGTAGATGGAGAACTCCAGCTTGGACTTCTTGCCGTAATCAACTGAGAGCCGTTCCATGAGCAGGGAGGTGAACCCAGAACCAGTTCCCCACCAAAGCTGTGGAAAACCAAGAAGCCCTGGAGACCGGTGCACTGGTTGGCCAGTTTACGAATTCGGTCCAACACGAGGTCAATGATCTCCTTGCCGATTGTGTCGTGCCCTCGGGCATAGTTATTGGCAGCATCTTCCTTGCCTGTGATGAGCTGCTCAGGGTGGAAGAGCTGGCAGTAGGTGCCAGTTCGAACTTCATCAATGACCGTGGGTTCCAGGTCTACAAACACTGCCCAGGGCACGTGCTTGCCAGCACCTGTTTCACTGAAGAAGGTGTTGAAGGATTCATCTCCTCCCCCAATGGTCTTGTCACTTGGCATCTGACCATCGGGCTGGATGCCATGTTCCAGGCAGTAGAGCTCCCAGCAGGCATTGCCAATCTGGACACCAGCCTGGCCAATGTGGATGGAGATGCACTCACGAATAGTGGCTAAGGATTAGGAGGCGAAGGCGACAGGAGCAGACACCGGGTCCTGGTTACCGTCCCCGACAAGCTAAGAGTCGAAGTAAGTAACGCACTGGGGCGGGGCAGGCGCTGGAGCCTCTTAAGTAGTGGCTGCGGAGGGGCGGGCCAAAAAATTATTTTCAACTGTTTCCTTTTACTTTTTTAAATGTGGCTATTACAAAAGTTAAAATTACATATGTGGTTCATATTACATCTCTGTTGTACAACATAGCTCTAGATAATGGAGTTCATAATACCCAGCTTCAGGCTGGGTGCGGTGGCTCACGCCTGTAATCCCAGCACTTTGGGAAGCTGAGGCAGGCAGATTACCAGATCAGGAGTTCCATACCAGCCTGACCAACATGGTGAAACCCCACCTCTGCTAAAAATACAAAAATTAGCTGGGTGTGGTGGCGTGAGCCTATAATCCCAGCAACTAGGGAGGCAGGAGAATTGCTTGAACCTGAGAGGCAGATGTTGCAGTGAGCTGAGATTACGTCATTGCATTCCAGCCTGGGCAACAAGAGCAAAACTCTATCTCAAATAATAATTCTCAGCTTACAGAATTGTGAAGAAAGGCCGGACGCGGTGGCTCAAGCCTGTAATCCCAGCACTTTGGGAGGCCGAGGTGGGTGGATCACGAGGTCAAGAGATCGAGACCATCCTGGTCAACATGGTGAAACCCCGTCTCTACTAAAAATACAAAAAATTAGCTGGGCATGGTGGCGTGTGCCTGTAATCCCAGCTACTCAGGAGGCTGAGGCAGGAGAATTGCCTGAACCCAGGAGGCGGAGGTTGTGGAGAGCCGAGATCGTGCCATTGCACTCCAGCCTGGGTTAACAAGAGCGAAACTCTGTCTCAAAAAAAAAAAAAAAAAAAAAGAATTGTGAAGAAAAGATGACTACAATGAAGAACTCTGAAAAACTGTAGAGCTCCACCTTGAATGAAATCATTCTTGTTTTTGTTTGTTTTTTGAGACAGAGTCTCACTGTTGCCCATGGTGGAGTGCAGTGGCATGATCTTGGCTCACTGGAGCCTCTGCCTCCAGGTTGAAGCAATTCTCCCACCTCAGCCTCCTAAGTAGCTGGGACTACAGGCATGCACTGCCATGCCCAGCTAAAAGATCATTCATTTTACCATTTGCACCCCAGCCCCGTCCCCGGGACCCTTCTCTTCCCCCACCTGCCCTTGGAGCTCCTGCAGTGATGCGTAGTACTTGGACCACCAGTCGAGCTCTTCTGTATCTGGGATGTCCTCTTCTAGCTCAGGGCCTTGATTCAAGAGGTCTCCTAGGCGGAGCTTCCTCAGATGAGGCTGAGGAAGAACAGACTTTGTCCCTTTAACCCGGTACCATCCTAAGTCCTGCCAGTCCCTTCTCCACCTAGCTCCTCTGCCCCATCACCTTCAGGAGCTGTCTGGATAGACCCGCTTCAGCCAAGATGGGATCCAGGGACTTCTGTCCTGGGAGGGGGGACATGGCAGCATGAGATTAGTCAGACTCCATACCCCATCGGAGGGCCTCTGGAGCCACGTCTGCCAGGAATCAGAGGGGCCTCTGTCTGGGGCCCTGAAGGAGAAGGTTTCTCACCTTGCGGTCCCTTGGGCATCATATTCCCTGTCTCCTCCATCACTCCTTCCTCCTCAGGAGAATCCTCGTGTCCCCGAAATGTGAATCGCAGCATATGGGGGACAATGTGGAACCCACAAGGACTGTGCGGCCAAAGGCCCGGCGCTCAATCACCAGGATGCTGAGTGGGGGCTGCAAGTGAGGCTGCTCCGGCAAGTCCTGGGGGTGGAAGACAGGAACTGTGTCTTTGGAGACCTGGGGAAGAGCGAAAGGCAGTCACAGAGACAAGGAGGAAAAAAATACATCTACACCTGCATTCTAAGCCCAGCGTGCCATAGCCTCACCGTGTGACCTCTGCTAAGCCTTCTCACCCTGTTTCCCTGGTAAAAAAGGGACACAATCCTGGATTCAAAAGACTGCTTTAAGTATCAAATGACATAATAGATACCTAAGTACTGTGGAGCCTACGAAGTGCTGTCAGAGGCCGGGCGCAGTGGCTCACACCTGTAATCCCAGCACTTTGGGAGGCCGAGATGGGTGGATCACCTGAGGTCAGGAGTTCGAGACCAACCTGGCCAACATGGTGATGCCCCATCTCTATTAAAAACAACAACAGCCGCCGGGCGTGGTGGCTCATGCCTGTAATCCCAGCACTTTGGGAGGCCAAGGCGGGTGGACCACGAGGTTGAGAGATCGAGACCATCCTGATCAACATGGTGAAACCCCGTCTCTACTAAAAATACAAAAAATTAGCTGGGCAGGGTGGCGCGTGCCTGTAATCCCAGCTACTCAGGAGGCTAAGGCAGGAGAATTGCCTGAACCCAGGAGGCGGAGGTTGCAGTGAGCCGAGATCGCGCCATTGCACTCCAGCCTGGGTAACAACAGCGAAACTCCGTCTCAAAAAACAACAACAACAAAACAAAGTGCTGTCAGAGGCTGGGCATGGTGGCTCATGCCTGTTACCCCAGCACTTTGGGAGGCTGAGGCAGGCAGATTGCTTGAGCTCAGGAGTTCGAGACCAGCCTGGGCAACACGGCAAGACACCGTCTCTACCAAAAACACACAAAAATAGCCAGGCATGGTGGTGTACACTTGTGGTCCCAGCTACTCAGGAGGCTGGGGTGGGAGGATCACTTAAGCCCGGGGACAGAGGTTGCAGTGAGCCAAGACTGCACCACTGCACTTCAGCCTGAGTGACAGAGTGAGAGAGACCCTTTCTAAAAGGTATATATGTATACACACACACACACACTTTATGTATATATAATATATATATATATACACACACACAGTATATGTATATATCTATATCTATATCTATATCTATACACACACACTTTATATATATATTTTTTGGCTAGGCCTGTTGGCTCACACCTGTAATCCCAGCACTTTGGAAGGCTAAGGCAGGCAGATCACTTGAGGTCAGGAGTTCAAGACCAGCCTGGCCAAAATGGTGAAACCTTGTCTCTACTAAAAATACAAAAAAAATAGCTGGGCATGGGGACAGGTGCCTGTAATCCCAGCTACTTGGGAGGCTGAGGCAGGAGAACAGCTTGAACCTGAGAGGCAGAGGTTGCAGTCAGCCGAGATCACACCACTCCAGCATGGCTGACAGAGTGAGACTCTGTCTTAAAACATATATTATGGGGGATGGGGGAGGGAAAAAAAAAAAAAAATATATATATATATATATATATATAATGGTTTATCTTTATTAAAGGCCATTTTAGGGTTAAAGGCCATATATATATATATATATATATATATATATATAATATAATTCCTGACCTTTAACCCAGGAATTCCATATCTATCAATGGATCCTAAGGGGAACAATTTTACTACTGTATTGATGGGTTTATTTTATGCATTTGTAGATATATACATATATACACATATATATGACAATTGTAGCACAAAAGAGAAAGGAAGGAATAGAACTATACCACAGAAAAGTTTGTATATTTTACTGGAACTATATTAGAATTAATCTGAAGTAGACTGTGAAATAGTAGTATACAAATTCTAATCCCTAGAGCAACTACTAGGTAAAAATCAACAAATTAAAATAGTACACTAATAAATATCAAAATATAGGCTGGGCATGGTGGCTCATGCCTGTAATCCCAGCACTTTGGGAAGCGAAGGTGGGTGGACTGCCTGAGCTCAGGAGTTTGTGACCAGCCTGAGCAACATGGTGAAACACGTCTGTAGTGAAATACACAAAAAATTAGCCAGGTGTGGCAGCATGCGCCTGTAATCCTAGCTACCTGGAAGGCTGAGGCAGGAGAATTGCTTGAACCCAGGAGGTGGAGGTTGCAGTGAGCCGAGACCATGCCACTGCACTCCAGCCTGGGTGACAGAACGAGGCTCCGCCTCAAAAAAAAAAAAAATTACATGTATATATATATATATATGTGTGTGTGTGTGTGTGTGTGTGTGTGTGTGTGTATAATAAGCATCTATTTAATACAACAGAAAGTAGTAAAAGAGGAACAATAAATATACAAGACATAGAAAACAGGCCGGGCGCGGTGGCTCAAGCCTGTAATCCCAGCACTTTGGGAGGCCGAGGCGGGTGGATCACGAGGTCGAGAGATCGAGACCATCCTGGTCAACATGGTGAAACCCCGTCTCTACTAAAAAAAATACAAAAATTAGCTGGGCATGGTGGCAGACGCCTGTAGTGCCAGCTATCCGGGAGGCTGAGGCAGGAGAATTGCTTGAACCCAGGAGGCGGAGGTTGCGGTGAGCCGAGATCGCGCCATTGCACTCCAGCCTGGGTAACAAGAGCGAAACTCCGTCTCAAAACAAAAAAAACAAAAAAAAAAAAACAAAAAAAAAATGGCAGATGTAAATTCAACCAATAATAGCATCAAGTGTGATCGTATTAAACATCAATTAGCCGGGCGCGGTGGCTCAAGCCTGTAATCCCAGCACTTTGGGAGGCCGAGGCGGGTGGATCACGAGGTCGAGAGATCGAGACCATCCTGGTCAACATGGTGAAACCCCGTCTCTACTAAAAGTGCAAAAAATTAGCTGGGCATGGTGGCACGTGCCTGTAATCCCAGCTACTCAGGAGGCTGAGGCAGGAGAATTGCCTGAGCCCAGGAGGCGGAGGTTGCGGTGAGCCGAGATCGCGCCATTGCACTCCAGCCTGGGTAACAAGGGCGAAACTCCGTCTCAAAAAAAAAAAAAAAAAACAAAACATCAATTAAAAGACAGAGATTGTCAACTAGATTAAAAAAAGAGATGCAACTCCATGCTAAGAGATACCTTTTTTTTTTTTTTTTTTTTTTTTTTTTTTTTGAGACGGAGTTTTCGCCCTTGTTACCCAGGCTGGAGTGCAATGGCGTGATCTCGGCTCACCGCAACCTCCGCCTCCTGGGTTCAGGCAATTCTCCTGCCTCAGCCTCCTGAGTAGCTGGGATTACAGACACGCGCCGCAATGCCCAGCTAATTTTTGTATTTTTAGTAGAGACAAGGTTTCACCATGTTGACCAGGATGGTCTCGATCTCTCGACCTCGTGATCCACCCGCCTCAGCCTCCCAAAGTGCTGGGATTATAGGCGTGAGCCACCACACCTGGCCTGTTTTATTTTTATTTTTTATTTATTTTTGTTTTTTTATTCAAGTGGGGTGCAGACATTTATTTTATTTTTTAAGAGACAGGGTTTCACCATGTTAGCCAAGATGGTCTCGATCTCCTGACCTCGTGACCCACCTGCCTCAGCCTCCCAAAGTGCTGGAATTACAGACGTGAGGCACTGCATCCAGCTAATACCTTAAAATGTTCATAATCAAAATGCATCATTAAGAAAATGAGGCCGGGCGCGGTGGCTCAAGCCTGTAATCCCAGCACTTTGGGAGGCCGAGGCGGGTGGATCACGAGGTCGAAAGATCGAGACCATCCTGGTCAACATGGTGAAACCCCGTCTCTACTAAAAATACAAAAAAACTAGCTGGGTGTGGTGGTGCATGCCTGTAATCCCAGCTACTCAGGAGGCTGAGGCAGGAGAATTGCCTGAGCCCAGGAGGCGGAGGTTGCGGTGAGCCGAGATTGCGCCATTGCACTCCAGCCTGGGTAACAAGAGCGAAACTCTGTCTCAAAAAAAAAAAGAAAAAAAAAAGAAAATGAATAGGCGGCTGGGCGCAATGGCTCATGCCTGTAATCATAGCACTTTGGGAGGCCGAGGCAGGTGGATCATGAGGTCAGGAGTTTAAGACCAATCTGGCCAACAAGTGAACACCGTCTCTACTAAAAATCCAGAAATTAGCCATATGTGGTGGCACAAGCCTGTAGTCCCAGCTACTTGGGAGGCTGAGGCAGGAGAATCACTTGAACTCAGGAGGCAGAGGTCGCTGAGACCATGCCATTGCACTCCAGCCTGGGTGAGAGAGTGAGACTCTGTCTCAGGAAGGAAGGAAGGAAGGAAGGAAGGAAGGAGGGAAGGAGGGAGGGAGGGAGGGAAGGAGGGAGGGAGGGAAGGAAGGAGGAAAGGGGGAAGGGGGGAAGGGGGGAAAGGGGGAAGGGGGAAGAGGGGAAGAGGGGAAGAGGGGAAGAGGGGAAGAGGGGAAGAGGGGAAGAGGGGAAGAGGGGAAGAGGGGAAGAGGGGACGGGGGAAGGAAAGGAAGGAAGGAAGGAAGGGAGGGAGGGAGGGAGGGAGGGGGGAAGGGGAAAGGGGAAAGGGGAAAGGGGGAAGGGGGAAAGAGGGAAGGAAGGAAGGAAGGGAGGAAGGGAGGAAGGGAGGGGGGAAGGGGAAAGGGGAAAGGGGAAAGGGGGAAGGGGGAAAGAGGGAAGGAAGGAAGGAAGGGAGGAAGGGAGGAAGGGAGGGAGGGAGGGGGGGGAAGGGGGGGAAGGGGGAAGGAAGGAAGGAAGGGAGAGAGGGAGGGAAGGAAGGAGGGAAGGAGGGAAGGAAGGAAGGAAAGAAGGAAAGAAGGAAAGAAAGAGGGAAAGAAAGAAAGAAGGAAAGAAGGAAAGAAAGGAAGGAAGGAAGGAAGGAAAGAAAGAAAAAAGATATGAATAGACAAGCCAGAGACTGGAAGAAAATACATGTAAAAATATATACCTGACAAATGACTGGTATCCAGTATATGTACTTTTACATACTTTTAAAACACCTACAATTCAGTAATTACAAAGAAAACAGTTCCCTTTTTTTTTTTTTAACAGAGTCTCCATCTGTTGCCCAGGCTGGACTGCAGTGGCATGATCTTGGCTCACTGCAACCTCTGCCTCCTGGGTTCAAGCAATTCTGCGTCCGTCTCCCACCACCACACCTGGCTAATTTTTGTATTTTTAGTAGAGACAGGGTTTCACCATGTTGTCCAGGCTGGTCTCAAACTCCTGACCTCAGGTGATCCACCCACCTCTGCCTCCCAAAGTGCTGGGATTACAGGTGTGAACCACTGCACCCAGCCACATTACAGTATATTTATACAACAGAATGTTATATGGCAATGAAAACCAACAAATCATAGCTACATGCAATGATATGGATAAATCTCATACACGTAATACTGAGATTTAAAAAGCAAAATATAAACTCTGAAAAACAGCAACACAAAGCTATATTATTTAAGAATGCACATTTATACCATGAACATTTTTTATTTTTATTTATTTATTTTTGAGACAGGGTCTCACTCTGTTACCCAGGCACAGAGGCACAATCACAGTTCACTGTAGCCTCAACCACCCAGGCTCAAGCAATCCTCCCACTTCAACCTCCCAAGTAGCTGGGACTATAGGCATGTGCCACCATGCCTGGCTAACTTTTTTCTTCTTCTTCTTTTAGGAGATGGGGTCTATTTTTCCCAGCTTGGTCTTGAACTCCTGGGTTCAAGTGATCCTCTCACTTTGGAGGATTCCAAACTGTTGGGATTACAGGTATCAGCTCTGTCTCAAAAAATTATTTTTGGCCAGGCGTGGTGGCTCACACCTGTAATCCAAGCACTTTGGAGGCCAAGGCAGGCAGATCACCTGAGGTCAGGAGTTCAAGACCTGCCTGACCAACATGGTGAAATCCTGTCTTTATAAAAAAAATTAAGGCCGGGCGTGGTGGCTCACGCCTGTAATCCAAGCACTTTGGAGGCCAAGGTGGGCGCATCACCTGAGATCGGGAGTTCAAGACCAGCCTGACCAACATGGTAAAACCCTGTCTTAAAAAAAAATAAAATAAAAAATAAAAAAAGAAATACAAACATTATTATTATTATTATTATTATTTGAGACAGAGTCTCACTCCGTTGCCAGGTTCCAGGCTGGAGTGCAGTGGCGTGATCTCAGCTCATTGCAACCTCCACCTCCAGGGTTCAAGCAGTTTTCCTGCCTCAGCCTCCTGAGTAGCTGGGACTACAGGCGCGCACCACCACGCCCAGCTAATTTTTTCATATTTTTAGTAGAGACGGGGTTTCACCATGTTGGCCAGGATGGTCTCGATCTCTTGACCTTGTGATCCACCTGCCTTGGCCTCCTAAAGTGCTGGGATTACAGGCATGAGCCACCGCGCCCAGCCTACACAAATTATTTTTATTATTTATTATTTTATTTTATTTTTTGAGACAATCTCACTCTGTCACCCAGGCAGGAATGCAGTGGTACCATCTCTGCTCACTGCAACCTCTGCCTCCTGGGTTCAAGCAATTCTTCTGCCTCAGCCACCCAAGTAGCTGGGATTACAGGCATGCCACATCACACCTGGCTAATTTTTTTTATTTTTAGTAGAGACAGGGTTTCTCCATGTTAGCCAGTCTGGTCTTGAACTCCTGACCTCAGGTGATCACCCACCTCAGCCTCCCAAAGTGCTGGCATTACAGGTGTGAGCCACTGCACCCAGCCTCATAAAACAATTTTTTTTTTTTTTTTTTTTGAGACAGAGTTTTGCTCGTTACCCAGGCTGGAGTGCAATGGCACGATCTCGGCTCACCGCAACCTCCGCCTCCTGGGTTCAGGCAATTCTCCTGCCTCAGCCTCCTGAGTAGCTGGGATTACAGGCACGCGCCACCATGCCCAGCTTATTTTTTGTATTTTTAGTAGAGACGGGGTTTCACCATGTTGACCAGGTTGGTCTCGATCTCTCGACCTTGTGATCCACCCGCCTCGGCCTCCCAAAGTGCTGGGATTACAGGCTTGAGCCACCGCGCCCGGCCATAAAACAATTTTTAAATGTCAGATGACAAAAGGAGGTTTTCAATGCAATTTTTTAAGACAGAGTCTTGCTCTATCGCCCAGGCTGGAATGCAGGGGTGCAACCTTAGCTCAATGTAGCCTCAAGCAATCCTCCCACTTCAGCCTCCACAGTAGTTGGGACTCTAGGTGTGTACCATCACAACCAGCTCATTTTTATAGAGACAGGGTCTCACTTTGCTGTCCAAGCTGGTCTCAAACACCTGGGTTCAAGTGCTCCTCCTGCTTCAGCCTCCCAAAGGGCTGGAATTACAGGTGTGAGCCACACTCATAATTTTAAAAGCAATTTTGCACAAACATTTAATATAATAAAGTCTCTTTTTTTTTTAAGATGGGTTTCACTGTGTTGGTCAGGCTGGTCTTGAACTCTGGACCTCAGGTGATCCGCCCACCTTGGCCTCCAAAATGCTTGGATTACAGGCATGAGCCACCATGCCTGGCCTATAATAAAGTCTCTAACTCATCTCTTCTTTCAACACTCTGTCTTCCAGCTGCCCAGGCTTCTCAGTTCTGGGCCTTTGTACATGCTATGTTTTCTTTCTCACTTGCCAAACTTCAATGTACCCTTTAAGGTCTAAGAGTACAATTCCTCACTCTTTGAGAACATAGCCAGCGGTCTAAACGTCCCAGGCCTTTGGGAAAGGACAGCTTCAGTCTTAAGCAGCCACAGCATGGTGGACCAGCCACCTTCCCTCTATAACCCTGTTTCTGCTCCTGTCAAGTCCCTTTACACATGTCATATTTAGTTCTTCAGACAAGGGAGGTCATGCTCAAGGCAGCCTACTCTCAAATCTCCATCCAAAGATATCCTGAATGTTCCCTGGGTCTCTGCTGGATTCTAGAACTCTTGTCCTCACCCTTAGCTTGCAAATAGAGTTTGCTCCTATGCCCACAGCAATGAGTCCCAGACCTAGCATCATTCCAAAAGACAAATGTTATATATGTCACACTTGCCTGAGGCCTCCGGAACGACCCAAAAGCTCAGGGAAAATGGCGTGCATGGTAGGAAAGTGGGGTGGGCAAGGCATTACCTCCTGAGCCAGAAAGCGCAGTTTTCCCAGGAGCTTTTTGGCCAATGCCACCTTCTTTTGCACGTTGCTCCGTCTCAGGCCCCGCAGAAGTCGCTGTCCTTGCTTAGCCAAAAGGTTCTGGGAGGGCAAAAAGACAGCATGAGTAGGCCGGGCGCGGTGGCTCAAGCCTGTAATCCCAGCACTTTGGGAGGCCGAGGCGGGTGGATCACAAGGTCAAGAGACCGAGACCATCCTGGTCAACATGGTGAAACCCCGTCTCTACTAAAAATACAAAAAAAATAGCTGGGCATGGTGGTGCGTGCCTGTAATCCCAGCTACTCAGGAGGCTGAGGCAGGAGAATTGCCTGAACCCAGGAGGCGGAGGTTGCGGTGAGCCGAGATCGCGCCATTGCACTCCAGCCTGGGTAACAAGAGCGAAACTCCGTCTCAAAAAAAAAAAAAAAAAAAAAAAAGACAGCATGAGTAGAGGGCCCCAGCTGGCTACCCCTGAGTCCCTTCCCAAGGCCGTACCAGACTGTGCACCAGGAGTTTCCCTCAGCATCGATCCAGGGCATTGGGCCGGGTCATCACCCTGCGCTCAGCACTGTGGCAAAACTGTCTGCAGTGAAGGGGGATGTGCACAGCAAACAGGAGTCAAAGGAAAGGAAAGAACACTGACCTTAGGGCCACTTCCCCCTGAGCCGGCCTCCCACTCCCAGCCTCCCTCACAGCCTCCCTCACAGCCCTCTCAGTCTGGTGCTCTGAAGAGGCACCCTTTCTCATGCAAAGATGCCCTTCTATATTTGGACCACTCCCAAATTCATCAAGGCCAGCCTTGCTCTGGAATTCGCTAATATTTAACCACTTACTACCCTGGCTACCCCAGGTGTGGCCCATGGACCAACAGCATTGCTATCACCTGCAGGCTATTTAAAACCGCAGACCCTCAGCCCCACCCCAGGCCCTAATGAATCAGAAGCTGCATTTATGCCCTAGGGGATTCCTAAACACATTGAAGCCTCAGATGGCAATGGTGTAGTTAGGTCTCCACCAGCTTGAACATTACATGCCCAAGCCAAATGCACAATTTCCAATGATCTACCCCAAAAATAACCTGTTTCACCTCAAAACTTCCAAGTCATCCTTCACTGCTTTCTCTCTCATTCCACATCAATTCATTAGCAAATTCTTTATGCTCTACCTTCAAAAAATATCTAGAATCTGGCCAGGTGTGATGGCTCTGGCTTGTAATCCCAGAGCTTTGAGAGGCCGAGGTGGGTGAATTACTTGAGGTCAGGAGTTCAAGATCAGCCTGGCCAATATGTTGAACAACTGTGTCTACTGACACTAAAAGGTTGAGCAAGGTGAGAGCAGAAAAGTGCCCACCTACAGTCTCCTTCCTCACTGCCTCTCCTGACCAGGGTCTTTGGCTGAGTCCCTGCTTCTTCCCTACCTCTAAATGCTGGAAAGCTCCAGGTCCTCAGACTCTTTTTTTTTTTTTTTTTTAATAGTAGAGATGGGTTTTCACTATGTTGGCCAATATGGTCTTGATCTCTTGACCTTGTGATCCACCCGCCTCGGCCTCCCAGAGTGCTGGGATTACAGGCATGAGCCACCGTGCCCCGCCTGAGATTTTTTTCTTTTTTTTTTTTAGAGTCAGGGTCCCATTCTGTCACCCAGGCTGGAGTGCAGTGGCGCAATCATGGTTCACTGCAGCCTTGAACTACTGGGCTCAAGATCTTCCCACCTCAGCCTCCTCCAAGTAGCTGGGACTAAAGGCGTAAGCCACTGTGCCGGGCCAACTGCAGGGATTTTTGTGGGCAGGAATGCTTTTTCACTGACATTCCTGTGTTTAAAACAGTGTCTGGCACAGTAAGTGCCATAAACAGTTATCAAATAAAATAAACAACCCTTAAGAAGAGGATCCAAAAATCACTAAAGTACCTGGAGGAGGTTATGAAATTCAGGGCAGTGAAGGTCAAAGATGAAAGGAACTAGAACTTTGTTTTTGTTTTTCTGAGATGGAGTCTTGCTCTGTCACCCAGGCTGGAGTGCAATGGCATAATCTTGGCTCACTGCAACCTCCACCTCTCAGGTTCAAGTGATTCTCCTTCGTCAGCCTCCTGAGTAGCTGGGAGGTAACCACCATTATGCCCGGCTAATTTTTGTATTTTGTTTTTGGTAGAGACAAGGTTTCATCATGTTGGCCAGGCTGGTCTTGAACACCTGACCTCAAGTGATCCACCTGCCTGGGCCTCCTAAAGTGCTAGGATTAGAGGTGTGAGCTACTATGCCCGGCCGAACATGTTTATGTGGTTACAGAAATGACCTGGAAACTAGGGACCAATCAATGATGGAGAGAAAATTGACAATTACAGAGCTAATTCCTCCAGTAGGTGAGAGGAGATGAAATCCAGATCCACCTGTGCTCACTGGAGCAGGAAAGGAGGAGAGCAGATGGACGCAGAAGCCAGCAAGGAGGTGGACTGGGTGGGGAAGGTGATTAGCAGGAACAAGTATGGAAGAAAGGAGGCAAGGAGGTTTGAGAAGGGACACGGGATAAGCCTCTAGGAGTGTGGGAAAGGGAGCTCACTGGAGATGGAAAACAGCTGAGGTGTCAAAGGATCGGGGAAGCCTAACGCCCAGTAATCTCATCAGCTCCCTGGATAGGAATAATCATTTTCTCATTCTCCTATAATGTGCTGAACAAATGCAGCTGCAAGCACCCTTGAGTCTATACAGCCACCAAGAGTCTCCCTTGCCCTGGAGTTGCCCCAAGGACAGACAGCAATAGGGGTGGCTCTCAGCTCACCTGCTCCCAGCCACCAGCTCTTCCAGCACCTGCTTGAGCTGTGCACAGGCACCAGGTCCCGGCCTGCGCTGCAGCCTCTCAACCTCCTGCAGTCCCTGGTCCTGCACAACCAGCAAGAGAGTCAGTCTCACGGGTCCGTGACCCGGACCTCTTGTAGACCACACCCAACCAAGGCCCCACCCACTCATAACCACACCTCTTGGCCTACTCTTCTTTAGCTCCACCTGGTGGATGGCTCTTTCTAGCCCCCCTATTGGCCCCACCAAATGTGGGGCACACCAGCAGTAGCTCTACCCATCTCCTTAACCCAGCCCCTTCCTGGGCCCAGCAATTCTGAGTCTCTGCCCTCCTACAGCTCCTGGCATCCTCAGTTCCCCCAGAAGCTGTGCTTTTTGGTCGTTGCTGCCCCTGGCCTTGCACCAACAAGGTGCTGGCTCTCTAGTGCCTGCCCATTAGCCCTGCTGCAGAGCTCCCTTCAAAGGCCGCAGTGTCCTGGGAGTCCCTATGGCATGGCCTCTCCCTGTGGGCACCGGCCTTGCCCTCACCAGCCTCTCAGCCACTCTGTGCACGCAGTTGCTGCTCTGCAGTCGCCAGGTGTGATCCTCCCAGCGACTCCACACGTGCACACACGGCTTGTGGTGACGCAGGGGCAAGCAGAAGTATGGCCTGGCAGGTGGAGAGGAGGCTTCTCAGGCATTCTGGGCCCTTGGGGACCTCCCAAACTCCCCTTCCAGCCACCAGGAGCACTCACCCGCTGCCATCCGTGGGTTCAGGTCGCTGAGCAGGGGTCCCCAGCTCCTCCTCCTCTTTCTCCTCCTCTGCCCTGGCTCCCAGTAGAGGCTGAGCCTCCACCGCCACACCTTCAGTTCCCTCCCCAGCTCTGGACCCTCGGCCCAATTGCTCCTCCAGGCGGCCTGCACGACCTATCCCAGAGCAGCAAGGGTCAGTGGGCACCAGGCTGAGGGTCAGATCCCTCCCTCAACCACCTGTGCCTTAATAGAAGTCAGAACCCACCCCTTACTGAAAGTCAACAGCCCCTTTCAGGACCCCAAGGTCTGAAACGAGAGTGCCCACCCTCAAACCCATGGAACTCAGGGGTTTGGCTAGGCCACACACCAATGGAGATCTCCAAGCTGATGGGCTGGGAGGCCACGGCGGGGTCGATCATGGTGGCCTCAAAGAGTACATCGAAAAGCAGGAAATCTTCACAGGACGCCAGGAAATTCTAGGGAAGGCCATCAAGCTGTAGTCAGCGCCCACCCTCCCAGGGAGCAGCCTGGATTCTGTTTGGCCGCAATGTCCACAGAAAGACGTGAGACCAAGACTTGGAAGTCACTGAAGGTATCCTACTCCCTCTCTGGCCTCACAGCCCCAGCACTGGCCCTGAGTATGGGTCCTCTCTGGCTCACCTCTGATTGGCCAGTCATCTTTCCCCCAACATGTGTGTGCATATACCATTAGCCGTGAGTGGGCACAAAACTCACTCTTCTCCCAGGCCCCCAAATTGAGACCCTCATCATGGTGTTGGATGCCTGAAAGTGGATTTCCCCCTCCGGAGCATAGGTGACCCCGCCTCCTTTGCTACCCCCCAGCCCTCACCTCTGGCAGCGGCAGCAGCTCCTCCACCTCCACCTCCATGGCACTGGGAATCTCAGGACCCTCGGCACCGGGGCTGGCGTCCACGTGCTGAAGAACCCCCGTCGGGGTGTGATCCCGCCTGGCTTTCTTTTTCTTCTTTCGGGTGAGCCGGGACAACCTGGATTCCTGCAGGGCCTGGGGAGGCTCAGGTTCAGCTCTCCCTTTCAGCACCTGCATGGACACAGCCAGCAGAAGGCGGCCTCGGAACCAAATGCCTCGGCCAACGCCTTCGTTGAGACCTTGAAGACCATCCCCGAGCCCTGTGCCGGGGGGCGAGCCATAGAGGGGCACCCAGGCCGGGCCGAAGGTGGGGTTAAACCCCGCTGTGGGAAACAAGAGCAGCGTGTTGGGAGGAGTGCGGGGCGGGCGGGTACTGTTAAGTCTCTGCACCTCACTCTGATCTCCTCCAAGTCCTCGGGAGTGAGGGCAGGGAAGGGGCTCAGCCTCTCTGAAAGGGAAGAAGTTGGCCAGCAGCTGCGGACGCGACGCTGTGGAAAACGACCTGGGCGTCCCCAAACCAGCTCAGCGCCCCAAGGAGCTGGAAACTGCGGGAGCCGGGGCTCGGGGGACGGATCCTGAGCCCTGGAGGCAGAGTCGGGATTGACTGGGGCGGGGTCGGGATAGGGGCGGAGCTACGGGAGATCCACGCGGCCTGGAGGTCGCGGGAAAGGAGTGGACAGGCAGCGTCAGCGCGTGCACAGCTGTAGGAAGGGCGTACTGGGCTGGTTACTGGGCAGGTGGCTGTGGTCAGAATTTTGCCAACGGAGCCAAACTGAGGGTGGGATTCACAGTCTGGGGGCGCCTTGAAGCAGTTTGTTTTGCGGGCCGACCAGCCTTCCTAGGCGGAGCGGGGTCGTGAGGATGGGGCTTGCAGTAGGGAATGGGCCCTACGGCGCGATTGGACCCAGGCGAGTGAGGCCGGGTTTGCCGCGGCCACAAGCGCTCACCCGCGCGGCCCGGGTGGGAGATCCACCTCAGGTCCAGCACGTGCGTGGCGAGGGCCGCGTCCACCAGGGGCGCATCGTCCCTTAGCTGCGGACGGAGGCTGCGCGTCAGCGGTGGGAAGAGCTCCACGAAGCTCAGCTGCTCGTTCCACTCGGGCGCCGCCGCCTCGGCGCGCACAGACGTCTCGCCCTGAAGCCGGCAGCGAAGACGGGCGGAGAGGGGTCAGCGCGGTGTCCGGGCCGAAGCCGCGGCGCCGTGGACCCCGGAGGAACTTACCTGCTGTCTCAGAAAAAACACCCGCATGTAGGGCTCCACCAGGACGCGCTGGTCGTGAAGGGCGCGGGCCAGGCTGCCCAACAGCCCAGAGCGCAGCGCGGGAAGCCCCTCTGCGCAGTACAGGCGCACGCGGAGCCGCGCCCACGGCCTCTCCGCGGACACCCCGCGCGGCAGGAGCAGGTTCCTAGGGGAGGGGGCACCGAGCGGGACTAGAAGCTGGGGTCTCGGCCCCTCCCCTTCTCCACACCCCACGGCCACCCCTGGATCCATGTTCCCCTCCCCACCTCACCCCAGCTCACTTCTCGATGTCTGAACAGTGCCCGGGGGCCTCGGGTAGCATTGGAGGGGGCAGGTCCCCGCGCGCCCTCACGGACAAGGTGACCTTAACTAAGCCCTTGGCCCCGGCGCGGGTGTCCTGAGGATCATGCAGCGGAGCCCATCTTTGGTAGAACTGGCCATCTAAGGGCAAAAGGGCGGCTAGGTCAGGGGCGACCGGCGGGACGCACAGGGTGGCAGTGAGGCTGTCATCGGAGGGACAATGGCCGGGGTTCCTGTCTGGCCTATCAGGGAGGGATGTGCCAAGAGTTCAGCCTCAGATGAGAGAGATCCAAGATGGCTGATCACTAGCAGCTCGGGATTGTAGCTCCCAGTGAAAGCGCAAAGAAGGAGAGGACGCCACACCTTCACATGAATTCTTGTTGCTCACGCACCAGGAGATTCGCAGCGGAGGAGCCCCACGGGTCCCCAGCGTGACCCGGCGAGGCGGTTTTGCCGGCGCCTCAGAGCGTTGGTTCTTGGTGCAGAGTCAGAAAAGCAGCATCAATCTTAACGCTGCTGATTTAGTTGGCGCAGTGGGTTGCTCAGATTTCTGCGCTGAGAATCAATAAGTTGGACGTCTACTCAGAAACCCAATTACAAAGACAGTAATTATAAAGACCACAGATGGATAAATCTACAACGAAGGGAAGAAAACAGCCAAAAAAGGCTGAGAATACCCAAGATCAGAACGCCTCTCCCTCAGCAGGGGATCACAGTTCCTCATCAGGAACGAAACAAAGCTTGATGGAGAACGAGTGTGTTCCAATTACAGAAGCAGGCATCAAAATGTGGATAATAAGAAACTTCTGTGAATTAAAAGAACTCGTTCTAACCCAATCCAAAGAAACTAAGAACTTTGAAAAAGGGTTTGATGAAATGTTAACAAGAATACACAATTTAGAGAAGAAAATAAGTGAATTGATGGAGCTGAAAAACACAATACAAGAACTACGTGAAGTATGCACAAGTTTTAACAGCCGAATTGATCAAGCAGAAGAAAGGATATCAGAGGTCGAAGACCAACTCAATGAAATAAAACAAGAAGACAGCCGGGCACGGTGGTTCAAGCCTGTAATCCCAGCACTTTGGGAGGCCGAGGCGGGTGGATCATGAGGTCAAAAGATCGAGACCATCCTGGTCAACATGGTGAAACCCCATCTCTACTAAAAATACAAAAAAATTAGCTGGGCATGGTGGCACGTGCCTGTAATCCCAGCTACTCAGGAGGCTGAGGCAGGAGAATTGCCTGAACCCAGGAGGCGGAGGTTGCGGTGAGCCAAGATCGCGCCATTGCACTCCAGCCTGGGTAACAAGAGTGAAACTCGGTCTCAAAAAAAAAAAAAAAAAAAAAAAAAAGACAAGATTAGAGAAAAAAGGATAAAAAGGAACGAGCAAAGTCTCCAAGAAATATGGGACTATGTGAAAAGACCTAATCTATGCTTGATAGGTGTACCTGAATGTGACGAAGAGAATGAATCCAAGCTGGAAAATACGCTTCAGGATATTATTCAGGAAAATTTTCCCAACCTAGTAAGGCAGGATAATATTCAACTTCAGGTAATACAGAGAACACTACAAAGATATTCCTCAAGAAGAGCAACTCCAAGGCACATAATCGTCAGATTCACCAGGGTTGAAATGAAGGAGAAAATACTAAGGGCAGCCAGAGAGAAAGGTCAGGTTACCCACAAAGGGAAGCCTATCAGACTTATAGTAGATCTCTCAGCAGAAACCCGACAAGCCAGAAGAGAGTGGGGACCAATATTCAACATCCTTAAAGAAAAGAACTTTCAACCAAGAATTTCACATCCAGCCAAACTAAGCTTCATAAGTGAAGGAAAAATAAAGTTTTTTGTGAACAAGCAAGCACTCAGAGATTTCATCACCACCAGGCCTGCTTTACAAGAGCTTCTGAAAGAACCACTACACATAGAAAGGAACAAACAGTATCAGCCTTTCTAAAAAATACCAAAAAGTAAAGAGCATCAATATAATGAAGAATTTACATCAACTAATGGGCAAAATAGCCAGCTAATATTAAATGGCAGTATTAAACTCACATATATCATTGTTAATTCTAAATTTAAATTGACTAAATCCCCCAATCCAAAGACAGACAGACAATTTGGATAAAAAACTAAAACCCGTGGCCGGGCGCGGTGGCTCAAGCCTGTAATCCCAGCACTTTGGGAGGCCTAGGCGGGTGGATCACGAGGTCAAGAGATTGAGACCATCCTGGTCAACGTGGTAAAACCCCGTCTCTACTAAAAATACAAAAATTAGCTGGGCATGGTGGCACGTGCCTGTAATCCCAGCTACTCAGGAGGCTGAGGCTGGAGAATTGCCTGAACCCAGGAGGCGGAGGTTGTGGTGAGCCAAGATCGCGCCATTGCACTCCAGCCTGGGTAACGAGAGCGAAACTCCGTCTCAAAAAAGAAAAACAAAAACAAAAACTAAAACCCATCAGTATGCTGCATCCAGACCCATCTCACATTCAAGGATACACAAAGACTCAAAACAAGGGATGGAGAAAGATTTACCAACAAAACAGAGCTAAAATAAATAAATAAAAAGCAGAAGTTACAATTTTTGCCTCTGATAAAATAGTCGTTAAAGCAACAAAGATCAAAAGAAGCAAAGAAGAAGGCCGGGTGCAGTGGCTCAAGCCTGTAATCCCAGCACTTTGGGAGGCCGAGGCGGGTGGATCACGAGGTCAAAAGATCGAGACCATCCTGATCAACATGGTGAAACCCCATCTCTACTAAAAATACAAAAAATTAGCTGGGCATGGTGGCGCATGCCTGTAATCCCAGCTACTCAGGAGGCTGAGACAGGAGAATTGCCTGAACCCGGGAGGCGGAGGTTGCGGTGAGCCGAGATCGCGCCATTGCACTCCAGCCTGGGTAACAAGAGCGAAACTCCGTCTCAAAAAAAAAAAAAAAAAGAAGCAAAGAAGGACATTATATAATGATAAAAGGATCAATGCAACAACAAGAAGAGCTAAAGATCCTAAATATATATGCACCCAATACAGGAATACCTAGACATACAAGACTAATAAAGAGACTTAGACTCCCACACAATAATAGTCAGAGACTTCAACATTAATGTTAGACAGATCAATGAGACAGAAAATTAACAACAATATCCAGGACTTGAACTCAGATCTGGAACAAGTAAATATAATTAACATTTATAGAACTCTCCACTTTACACAAAATATACACTCTTATCAGTACCACATCATATCAACTTAGAAGTTTAAATGAAATGTTGGTTGGCTCCTTGTTTGTTATTCTCTTCCCTCATTTTCTTTTATGTCTCCATTATTAAGGACAATTATAGGCATACCCATATTTAGACTGCATTTTAGCCAGGGCAATAAAGCAATACCCCCATTCTCTCTCCTTGTTCCTTTCTCTTTCTTCCTCTTCTTTATTCTTTTTCTTATTATTGTTTTTTACTTTCTCAAAAAAATAATAATAATGCTTAATACACATTAGCTATTGTCATATTGTTCTTGTGAAGCACATCCTACAGCATATATGGCAAACAACGATTTGATACCTATTATTATTATTATGACCATTATTATGTGTATCTTTCTTCCAGTATAAAAATACTTTTCGGGCCGGGCGCGGTGGCTCAAGCCTGTAATCCCAGCACTTTGGGAGGCCGAGGCGGGTGGATCACGAGGTCAAGAGATCGAGACCATCCTGGTCAACATGATGAAACCCCGTCTCTACTAAAAATACAAAAAATTAACTGGGCATGGTGGCTCGTGCCTGTAATCCCAGCTACTCAGGAGGCTGAGGCAGGAGAATTGCTTGAACCCAGGAGGCAGAGGTTGCGGTGAGCCGAGATCGCGCCATTGCACTCCAGCCTGGGTAACAAGAGTGAAACTCCAGCCGGGCGCGGTGGCTCAAGCCTGTAATCCCAGCACTGTGGGAGGCTGAGGCGGGTGGATCACGAGGTCAAGAGATCAAGACCAACCTGGTCAACATGGTGAAACCCCGTCTCTACTAAAAATACAAAAAATTAGCTGGGCATGGTGGCATGTGCCTGTAATCCCAGCTACTCATGAGGCTGAGGCAGGAGAATTGCCTGAACCCAGGAGGCGGAGGTTGTGGTGAGCCGAGATCGCGCCATTGCACTCCAGCCTGGGTAACAAGAGCGAAACTCCGTCTCAAAAAAAACAAAAAAACAAAAAAAAAAACACAACTTTTCATTTGTCTCATGGCGTCCCAGGAAAGGGCTGTCACGAAAAAAAAAAAAAAAAAAAAAGTGTATATTTTAGTTGTATTATATGTGTGTATATCATATACGGTAGCATACAATATGTGTGTGTGTGTGTGTGTTTTCTTTTGTCTAGATAAAAAAATAAAAAATAAAGAGTTCAGCCTCCACCAGAGGTGGTCCACTCCAAAGTGAGTGTATAGGAGCCCATGCGGAGTCACCGCGGGGTCAATCTCTGGGGTCCTTGTCCGTGCAGAGTCTCAGTAAGGAGACAGTTCCATACCTGGCTGGTCCAAGATGATGCCCAGGTCCATCCTGAAGGTGCCTATCCGGGTGGCCATAAAAGGGAGGGTCTGCGAATGGAAAGCCTGCGGGGAAGGTGATGTTTAGTCCTGCAGCTTTTGCATCCCAGATTCTCTGAAGGACACTGATCACCCCTGCGCCGCTCACCGTGATCTCCAGCAGCAAGTCTTGGAGGTGAAGCCGGGTGTCATGAAATTCGAACAAGAAGTACTGAATTGAAGTGGGGATGAGAGGTTAGATGTGAAGGGCTTCCGCCAGCTTACACTGGTCTCTTGTTCAGAAGACCCTCCTTCCCCCGCCCCCAAACCCCTCGCTGCAACCTTTTAGTGGATCAGTGCTCCCACCCTCCCGCTTCCGCATAAGCCCAGCATCTGGCTCCAATTCCACCCAGGCCACGCCCCCTCCAGGAACAGTTCTCACCTGGGTCCCTCCCATTCTCTCAGGCTCTCCCTCTTCTGTGGTGGCACCCACCTCATTGTAAAAGGGGCAATTGGTTCCAAGCTGTGTGGCGGTGACACGGCGCTGCCCCCCAACATGCACAGTCACATAGGGGTTAATGTTGACTCCAGCCAGTTTCTGGGCCTCCAGCACCGTGACTCCCACCTGAGAGGTACAGAAGGATGAGGAAAGGAAGCCAGACCTGCCTGGGTTGGGGAAAAGTAGCTGCGCACCAGCAGAAGAGGTGGTACTCCCAAGGGTTAGAACGGCCTGGAAAAGGAGCAGTACCTGGAAGTCTTGAGCTCTGGACATCTGGAAGGGATCCCCACGGGCCAGGTCCCTGGTGCGGCTGAGGTGAAGCTTAAGTTAGCTCTCACTTGGTCCCTCCTCTGCACACGCATGCGCACGCACACACACATACACTTGCTTGGTGCTGGGAGTTTCCCTCCCTCTGAACTTTTGGATTCCAAGTCTTTCAGGTTATGTCTGTTGCCTCCATCTCAACCCAATTTGACTCATTCCTGGAATCCTGAAAACATTCATTCATGCAACAGAGGTTTATTGAACACGTACTACGTGCTAACTGTCCCAAGCACTGGGACACTGCAGTGAAGAGACAGATCTCCTTGCCCTCATCAAACTTTCATCCCCTGTATGTGTGTGAGCCACTGTAACTGTGCACGAACATGGCAGTGTCTATGCCTATGAACAAGTGACCAGGGAGTGTCTATGCCTATGAACAAGGGGATCCACCCTTTCCACATACCCTGGGACAGTGTGTTTGTGAGGGCAGATGGGTGTGGGAGCCAGTGTGCCATGGGTACAAGTTACCTCTTGAGAGGACTGAACACAACGCCAGAAAGTTCCATATCAGGCTCATCCTCCAGGTCCTGCTCCAGCTCCAGCTCCAGCTCATTCTCCTCATCATCCTGCCAACCTAGGCTTCGAGCTAGCCTGTGGCCCAGAGCCACTGCCTGCCGCTCCAGCTGGGCCTCCCTAGGCCTGACAGGAAAGGCCTTCAGGGACATGTCTGGAACCCATCACCCATCTCTGGGCAATTCCTTGACTTCATGGCGCTTTGAACTGACCCCTGACCCTTGAACTGATCCCACTGATCCTAGGGCCAGTTCTTGACCCTATGGCTGACTTCATTGATCCCAGGACAGACTCTTAACCCTGGGATCCTTCTTTTTTTTTTTTTTTTTTTTTTTTTTTGGAGGAGTCTCACTCTATTGCCCATGCTGGAGCGCAGTGCATGATCTCTGCTCACTGCAACCTCAGCATCCCAAGTGGCTGGGATTATAGGCGTGTGCCACCACACCTGGCTAATTGTTGTATTTTTTGTAGAGACAGGGTTTCACCTTCTTGGCCAGGCTGGTCTTGAACTCCTGCCCTTGTGATCCACCTGCCTTAGCCTCCCAAAGTGCTGGGATTATAGGCATGAGCCACTGCACCTGGCCAACCCTGGGACTTTTCTAATTCCAGAACTGACCTGATTCTAGCACTAATCAGGTGGATTAGATCTACCTGGAGCTGATCCCATATTACTGGTTCCTAACTCCAAGATGACCTGGGTGACCCCAGGTCATCCCCATAGATTTACTCCAGTTCCTGGAAGTCCACATTACGGATGATCAACTCCGAGCTGGAAGAGAAATGAAAGGACTGAGAAGAACATGCCTGACTACAGAACAGTACCTGGTCAGCACACGTCCAAGGGTCTCTGAATCGGCAGGTCCAGAGTGGAACTGGGCACTACTTCTCCCTTTCCAGGGTCTGCCTGGGCTGGGACCACCAGGTCTTGCTTTGGTTGCTGGAGCGGATTACCTGTCCTGGATGGGTGCCCCAAAGTCCTCCTCTGCCCAGGCTCCAGTAGCGCCCTCTGGGGGCTGGTACTTCAGGTCAAGCTCCACCTGGATCTAAAACCAGATATAGTATCCCCTAGAGCCTCCCTCTAACTGCCCTGGGGCTGAGAGGCCCAAGGACAGTGCCTTTTACTCCAGGTGGCAGACATCCTTCTGGCAGGTGCCCTGCGCTTCCTGTTTGATCATTAATAATGTGGACTACTCACAACCTATTAAGAACTAAGTAGGCAAGTTTCCTCTTTTTTTTTTTGTTCAAGTCTTATTAACTCAATTACTTGTCTTCTGGTTTATTGAAGCAGTAAGTCAGACAACATTTGCCACAATTTGTCTGTCAAAGTGGCTTACTATAAACACTCTAGCACCACATTCATCAGAAGGGCGGGCACTCTCTTTTTTTTTTTTTTTGAGACGGAGTTTCGCTCTTGTTACCCAGGCTGGAGTGCAATGGCGCGATCTCGGCTCACCGCAACCTCCGCCTCCTGGGTTCAGGCAATTCTCCTGCCTCAGCCTCCCGAGTAGCTGGGATTACAGGCACGCGCCACCATGTCCAGCTAATTTTTTGTATTTTTAATAGAGACGGGGTTTCACCATGTTGACCAGGATGGTCTCGATCTCTTGACCTCGTGATCCACCCGCCTCGGCCTCCCAAAGTGCTGGGATTACAGGCTTGAGCCACCGCGCCCGGCCTCTTTTTTTTTTTTTAAGATGGGGTTTCACCATGATGGCCAGGCTGGTCTTGAACTCCTGGCTTCAGGTGATCCACCCACCTCGGCCTCCCAAAGTGCTAGGATTATATGCGTGAGCCACCGCGCCCGGTCCAGAAGGGCACTCTTGATGAAGGCAACTAATTTTGCCATTCTCATCCACCTCATAGTATTTCAGGACAGCCAGCTGAATCTTTTTCTCGTGCTCTTTCTTCTTGGGAGTGGTGTAAGACTTATTCCTTTTCTTAGCACCACCACAAAGTCTCAACACAAGATGAAGAGTAGACTCCTTTTGAATGTTGTAGTCAGACAAAGTAAGTCCGTCTTCCAGTTGCTTACCAGCAAAGATCAGTCTTTGCTGATCAGGAGGAATTCCTTCTTTATCCTGGATCGTGGCCTTTACATTTTTTTTTTTTGAGACGGAGTTTCGCTCTTGTTACCCAGGCTGGAGTGCAATGGCGCGATCTCGGCTCACCGCAACCTCCGCCTCCTGGGCTCAGGCAATTCTCCTGCCTCAGCCTCCTGGGTAGCTGGGATTACAGGCACACGCCACCATGCCCAGCTAGTTTTTTGTATTTTTAGTAGAGACGAGGTTTCACCATGTTGACCAGGATGGTCTCGATCTATTGACCTCGTGATCCACCCGCCTCGGCCTCCCAAAGTGCTGGGATTACAGGCTTGAGCCACCGCGCCCGGCTACATTTTCTATTGTTATCGAGGGTTCAAACTCGAGGCTGATGGTCTTCCTCATGAGGGTTTTCACGAAAATCTGCATTTTGGTGGCGGCTCCACCGCAGATGGTAGATTGAAAAGCAAGATTCCTCTTTAAATTGTCTTTCTTTTTTCTTTTTTATTCTATTTTTAGTATTGATGAGGTTTTTTGTTTGGTTTTTTTTTTTTTTTTTTTTTTGAGACAGAATCTCACTCTGTTGCCAAGCTGGAGTGCAGTGGCACAATCCCGGCTCACTGCAACCTCTGCCTCTCGGGCTTAAGCGAGTCTCCTGCCTCAGCTTCCCAAGTAGCTGGGACTACAGGTGTGTGCAACCACATCCAGCCAATTTTTGTATTTTTTAGTAGAGATGGGGTTTCACCATGTTTGCCAGGATGGTCTTGATCTCTTGACCTTGTAATCCACCCACCTCAGTCTCCCAAAGTGCTGGGATTACAGGTGTGAGCCACCAGGCCCGGCCAATGAGGTATTATGTTACCCAGGCTGGTCTTGAGCTTCTGAGCTCAAATGATCCTCCTGCTTTGGCTTCCCACAGTACTGAGCTTACAGGCCTGAGCTGTGTGCCCAGCCACAAGTTACCTCTTGGGGACGCCCAACAGGATTCCAAGATTCCCTCATTGCTCTTGGAAGTCCCTTTCGGTGGCCTTCACTGCCCTGCCTGGTCTGGCCCCACCAACCTTTCCAGCTCTACCTCACTCCAGGCACCTCAGCCGTGCTCCTTCAAGGCAGATGCCTTTCCTCTGCCTGGAACATTCTCTCCTCCCAGTTAGTTAACACCTATTATCCTTCAAGTCTAAATTCAAGTACTACTGCCTCAGGGAACTTTCTCTGGCCCCCAAGTAGATCATACTCCCGTTGTACCCTCCCCCAGCCTCTACCAGCTTCCCTCTAACACATGCCAGTTGCAGTTTCACATTTACTTGTGTGAATATTTGTTTACCATTTGCCTCCCTTCCAAGAGTGCAAATCCTTATCTGGTTTTACTCACCACAGAATCCTCATTGCTCAGCTCAGTACTTAGCTTATTATAAGAGCTCAACAAATGATGATGGACTGAACAAAAAACTCAATATCATGTAAATGAGAAAACAACTTCCAGACCAGGCAAGGTGGCTCACACCTGTAATCCCAGCACTTTGGGAGGCCAAGGCACATGGATCACAAGGTCAGGAGTTTGAGAACAGCCTGGCCAATATGGTGAAACCCCATCTTAAAAGAAAAGAAAAGAAAAAGACAACAGCTTCCAGATGCTAAAGAATTCTGCAAGTTCTAGCTGGAAATGGCCAGATCTGAGATTTGAAGGTAGGTCCATGTCTATTAGTGTATGAACCCCTCCATGAAAAACCAGGAAACTCTAGCCAATTTCATCTTTGTCTCCCACAAGAATTGATTCCTGAAAGGAATCATGGCTAGAGGCCTTGTTACCTACCACTCATCTCTGGGTCTTAGGTTTTCCCCTGTGAGAAATGGAACCCTTTATCTAGAGGTACTTGAGGGTGGCAGCCTGGGGGCCAGAGGGGCTCACCGGGGACACGTGAAGGTTCTCATCCACTAGAGCTTCCCGTAGCACCAAATGCCCAGCATTCTGTAGCTGCTGCAGGGAGATCACCAGGGTCCCTAAGGGCCTAGGGGAGTGGCATCGAGCAAAAGAGTGACCCAGGGGAATAACTCTAAGTCACCCCCAGCCCGACCTGCATCCCTGTCTCCCCAGGCCTACTCACCTGGGGCTGAATACACGGCTGCAGTTGACCACCTGCACAGACAGACACTCCCCAGCCAGTGGAGCCTCCTAGTGGAGCCAGTGGAACAGCTGGGGACAGGAGGAAGCTTGTAACACCCATGCTGTGCTGACCCCAGACTTCAATCCAAAGCCTAGTCTTGCCTGGGCATGGTGGCTCATGCCTGTAATCCAGCACTTTGGGAGGCCAAGGTGGGTGGATCACCTGAAGTCAGACCAGCCTGGCCAACATGGTGAAACCCCTTCCCTACTAAAAATACAAAAATTAGCCAGGCATGGTGGCAGGAAGTCACCTATAATCCCAGCTACTCAGGAGGCTAAAGGAGGTGAAGGTTGCAGTGAGCTGAGATTGTGCCACTGCACTTCAGCCTGGGTGATAGAGTGAGGCCTTGTCTCCTGAAAAAAGAAAAAGCCTATTCCTAACCCTCAGACGGGACTCAATCCTCCAGGTTTGGAGCTAACTTCAGGATTAACGTCCCCAAACCTGGAACCGATCCCTGCACATGGGTTTGACTCTGAATGGGACTGACTACTGATCACGAATGAATTCCCCCAGTCTTGGGATTGATTTGTTCTGATCTGGATCTGATCTCTCAAGCCTCAAACTGACCCCCACCTCCCAAGACTACACTTCCTCAAACCCAGGAATGAGCCCCTGAACCCCAGGTTGGACTTGTATGGAAGACAAACCAGGAACCAACTGTACTGACCTCACCAATATCGGCTTCTTGACCACAGTGAATTTTTCTTGTTTTCTGGGTAAAGCCTGCTCAGAACTGAAACTAGTCATTTATCAGCCCCTCCACACACACACAAACAAATAATTTGCTTCACCCACCCTTGGCCCAGGGTCAAGTCGCTCCTGGATTCACCCTTAAAGAAAGGTAGACAATGGGAAGGAAAGAGGCAGAGGGTTGGAGACACCAGGCTGGGTGGAGAAAGAGAAAAGCTGTAAAGATCAGAAGGCATCGGGTCAAGGGCCCCCCAGTTTCAAACATCCTTAGAGTGCCCCTGCAAGTCTCATCGCGAAAGCTGAGCTTCACTTGTCGGTCGTGGGTGCCAGATAGCCCTGTTAGTTGTTGCACGCACACTGTCAGAGCCATGGTCTCAGTGGCACTGGCACTTCCTCTGCCCTCCTGCCCACCAGCCCGCCCACCTGAATCGCCTCTGACTCACTGGACTTACCCAGCAGGTTTAGCAATCCCTGCCCTCTAGTCAAACACACAAGGAGCAGGGCTGGGGTCATGGGTGGGGCGGGAGGAGAGGACCGAGAGATGGAGGTAAGGTCCTTGAGGTCAGTTCGGTCCTCCCTGGGTCCACCAGCTCCAAGCTGGCAGGACTGCCTCAGCCTCCATCCTGCATTCTCAGGGAATGAGAGCTGGGATAGGGTGGGGAGGTAGGCAAGGGGAGCAAACAGGACCCCAGTCTGCTCCCTGCCAGCCGGTGAGGCCTCAAGGGCACAGACCTCATGCCTTGCCTTTCCTTTTCTCTCTGTCTGTCTCTCTCCTTCCTTCCTCTCTCTCTCTCTCTCACTCACTCTCTCTTTCTTTCTGGTAGAGTCTTGCTCTGTTGCCCCGGCTGGAGTGCAGTAGTATGATTTCAGCTCACTACAGCCTTCAACTCCTGGGTTCAAGCAATTCTCCTGTCTCAGCCTCCTGGGTAGCTGGAATTACAGATGTCCACCACCACACCTGGCTAATTTTTTGTATTTTTCATAGAGACAGGGTTTCACAATGTGGGCCAGGCTGGTCTTGAACTCCTGACCTCAAGTGATCTGCCCACCTCAGCCTCCCAAAGTGCTGGGATTACAGGTGTGAGCCACCACACCCGGCCTCTTCTCTTTTCTTAATATTTCTTTTTTTTTTGAGACGGAGTTTCACTCTTATTACCCAGGCTGGAGTACAATGGCGTGATCTCGGCTCACCGCAACCTCCGCCTCCTGGGTTCAGGCAATTCTCCTGCCTCAGCCTCCTGAGTAGCTGGGATTACAGGCACGTGCCGCCATGCCCAGCTGATTTTTTGTATTTTTTTAGTAGAGACGGGGTTTCACCATGTTGACCAGGATGGTCTTGATCTCTTGACCTCGTGATCCACCCGCCTCAGCCTCCCAAAGTGCTGGGATTACAGGCTTGAGCCACCGCGCCCGGCTTCTCTTCTCTTTTCTTTCTAACTCTCTCTCTATATATATTTTTACTTACTTTTTTTTTTTTTTCAGATAGGATCTTGCTCTGTCACCCAGGCTGGAGTGCAGTGCCACAATTACAGCTCACTACAGACTCAACTTCCCAGACATAAGTGATCTTTCTGCCTCAGCCTCCCTACTAGCTGGGGCTACAAGTTCATGCACTCACACCAGCTAATTTTTTTAAGAGGTGGGATCTTACTCTGTTGCCCAGTCTGGTCTCCTAGGCTCTAGCAATCCTCCTTCCTCAGCCTCCCAAAGTGCTGGGATTACAGGGATAATCTACCGTGTCCTGCACCTTCTATGTGCAGGACTCATGCTGTGGCACCCTGCAGGGTATCCAGCCATGAGAGGGGAATCACATGTGTCTGTCTTCCAGCAACTTCATGACTCCACTGACTAACACAGCCTAGAAAGACTGTAATTACCCTCAGAGCAGAAAAGGGCCAGAGCCCAGGAGCTCAGAGTGGAGAGACTGGAGGGGCTTCCCCAAAGAAGGAATGTTTAGAATGGGTTTAGGCTCATCATGGTGGCTCACGCCTTTTGGGAAGCCAAGACAGGAGTATTGCTCCAGGCCAGGAGGTCGAGGTTGTAGTAAGCTGTGATCATGCCACTCCACTGCAGCCTAGGCAATAGAGCAAAACACTGTCTCAAAAAAAAAAATTTTTTTTTTTTTTTTTTTGAGACGGAGTTTCGCTCTTGTTACCCAGGCTGGAGTGCAATGGCGCGATCTCGGCTCACCGCAACCTCCGCCTCCTGGGGTCAGGCAATTCTCTTGCCTCAGCCTCCTGAGTAGCTGGGATTACAGGCACGCACCACCACGCCCAGCTAAGTTTTTTGTATTTTTGGTAGAGACGGGGTTTCACCATGTTGACCAGGATGGTCTCGAACTCTTGACCTCGTGATCCACCCACCTTGGCCTCCCAAAGTGCTGGGATTATAGGCGTGAGCCACCGCGCCCGGCCCAAAATTTTTTTAAAGAAAGGAAAATTGGCTTAGAGCAGTAGACTCCAACCTTTTTTGGCACCAGTGACCAGAGATGGGTTTCATGGAAGACAGTTTTCCCATGGACAGGGTAGGGGGCAGGAGGAGGGGCTGGAGGGGATGGTTTGGGGATGAAACTGTTCCACCTCAGATCATCAGGCATTAGATTCTCATGAGGAGCTCGAAACCTAGATCCCTCGCATGCACAGTTACCAACAGGGTTCATGATCCTATGAGAATTAATGCTGCAGCTGATCTGACGAAAGGCAGAGCTCAGGTGGTGATGCTTCTTCGCCCACTGCTCACCTCCTGCTGTGCATCCTGGTTCTTAGGCCACAGACCAGTGCCTGTCCATGGCCTGGGGGTTGGGACCCCTGGCTCAAAGGACAGGAGCTGGGAGCAAAGACAGAAACCCAGGCAGCAGGAAGGAATGCAGAATGTTTTCTGGGCCATGTAATTTGTTCAGTTTGGCCTGAATACAAGGAATGTATTGGGCGGCAGCAGCAGCAGATAAGATTAGATAGTCAGAGGAGCTGGGTCTTGCTGTGTGACCTTGCCCCAGACATGGTCCTTTCTTGTGCTTCAGCTTTTCCGTCTCAGTACTAGGTTGCAAAGCCCTGTTCTGCCTATTTCTCTGTTGTTGTTTTGAGACAGAGTCTCACTCTGTTGCCCAGGCTGGAGTACAGTGATGTGATCTTGGCTCACTGCAACCTCCATCTCCCAGGTTTAAGCAATTCTCCTGCCTCAGCCTCCAAAGTAGCTGGGACTACAGGTGCACACCACTATGCCTGGCTAATTTTGTATTTTTAGTAGAGACAGGGTTTGGCCATGTTGGCCAGGCTGGTCTTGAACTCCTGACCTCAGGTGATCCATCCTTCTTGACCTCCCAAAGCTGCACCCAGCCAGTTGTTTTTGTTTTGTTTTGTTTTGTTTTTTTGAGACAGAGTTTCGCTCTTGTTACCCAGGCTGGAGTGCAATGGCGCGATCTCAGCCCACTGCAACCTCCGCCTCCTGGGTTCAGGCAATTCTCTTGCCTCAGCCTCCTGAGTAGCTGGGATTACAGGCACGTGCCACCATGCCCAGCTAATTTTTTGTATTTTTAGTAGAGACGGGGTTTCACTATGTTGACCGGGATGGTCTCGATCTCTTGACCTCGTGATCCACCCGCCTCGGCCTCCCAAAGTGCTGGGATTACAGGCTTGAGCCACCGTGCCCGACCCAGCCAGTTGTTATGTATTCAAATGAGTCTGGGGGTCTAAAAAACATCAGACAAGAGGGACAGGCTGTTCTGTTGTTAAGAAAGGTCCAGGTTAGACCTTAAGCCCTCAGATGCTGGGGGAGGGCTTCACCTCCCCCTTTTAACAGATAGGGACACTAAGACCCAAAGGAGTTCACAGACAGAAAACAAGGCAGAAGCAGAGATAGGGTAGTATGAACCAGAATTTGTAGTTTGCAGTGCCTTCGCCTTCTTCTCCCTTCTTCCTTGTGGGCTCTGTGACACCTAATGAAGAAAGTTATTGATGTCATCCCTCTGGAGCCTGACATGGGCATCTCCCCTCTGGGCTGGAACACAGCTTAACAGATTGCCCCTGTGCCTCAACCTCTCTAAGAACTGCCACTTCCAGTTCCTAACATTCTTGGTGTTTTTTTGAGACGAAGTCTAGCTCTATCACCCAGGCCAGAGTGCAGTGGTGCGATCCCGGCTCACTCCAACCTCTGCCTCCTAGGTTCAAGTGATTCTCCTGCCTCAGCCTCCCAAGTAGCTGCAACTACAGACGTGCACCACCACGCCCAGCTAATTTTTGTATTTTTAGTGGACACGGGGTTTCACCATATTGATCAGTCTGGTTTCAAACTCTTGACCTCAAGTGATCCATTGCCTGAGCCTCCCAAAGTGTTGGGAGTACAGGCCTGAGCCATCACACCTGGCCCCAGTTCCTAACATTCTAAGGAAAGTATGCAGGCAGTAAGAGTACTGGGTCAGAGGGAAGGATTTGGGAATTCTAATGTTATGCAGTGCGTTATTCCCCTACCTGGACCTGTTTGTCTAGCTGTGCAACTTGTACAGGATATACTGCATTGTCTTTCAAAACGTGGTGTGTTTTTTTTTTTTTTTTTTTTTTTGTTTTTTTTTGAGACAGAGTCTCACTCTGTTGCCCAGCCTGGAGAGCAGTGGCTCAGTTGGCTCACTGCAACCTCCACTTTCTGGGATCAAGAGATTCTTCTGCGATCAAGCAATCCTTCTGCCTCAGCTTCCCGAGTAGCTGGGATTACAGGTACGCGCAACCACGCCTGGCTAATTTTTGTATTTTTAGTAGAGACAGGGTTTCGCCATCTTTGCCAGGCTGGTCTCAAACGCCCAACGTCAAGTGATCCGCCCACCTCAGCCTCCCAAAGTGCTGGGATTACAGGCATGAGCCACCACGCCTGGTCCCAAAATGTGGTCTTTAATCAGGATCACAAATGTGGTTGTTACAAATGCACACTCCGGCCAGGTATAGTAGTTCATACCTGTAAGGCTGAGGCAGGTGGATCACCTGAGGAAAGGAGTTTAAGATCACCCTGGCCAACATAGTACAACCCTGTCTCTATTAAAAATACCAAAAAAAAGTTAGGCAGGCGTGGTGGCGCATACCTGTAATCCCAGCTATTTGGGGAGGCAGAGGTTACAGTGAGCCGAGATCATACCATTGCACTCCAGCCTGGGCAACAGAGCGAGACTCCATCTGAAAAATAAACAAAAAGAAAAACAAAAGCACATTCCTGGACCAACTCAGAAATTCTGCAGTATCTGGAGTAGACTCACGAGGTGTGCCTGGGAAGCTGAATTTCTGTAAGCTACACTGATATTCTGTTACATAGCAAGAGTTCAGGAACCTCTACTCCCAGCTGTGACCATCTGTGATTCTGCATTCTTTCCTCCATGACTCAGGTGCA